TTTTGGTCGCTACCCGGATTCGAACCCGGGACCTTTGAATGAGAGGCCAAAAACTTAACCTCTAGGCCACGAGAGCCCCCAGGTAAGTATTCACCGCCGAATATCGAAATAATAATATGTGAGGCAGCGTGGTGGAATCAGGCTCTCGTCAATTTTTGGGCATGTAGAGTTATTGGAGTCATCTTAAAGCTTGTTCATTTGTCTTTATTTCACTGAAAAAAGTATCCATTTATCTTGAGTACAAATCGAGATATTTGCGAATGAAGGAGGTGGGGTCACCTGTTTTCAGATGTAAAATTAGGGAGAAAATGGCCGCCAAAGGTTGGTTATTTACTTAGCTTAAGAGTCCGTGGTAACTGAAAATTTACATTTTGTGTGCCTTTAATCAACCATTTTAAGAAAAATCCACTCTGAAATGAATTCTTTAATGGGCATGAAAGGTGTTAAGCCAGAAAATAAACATTTAATAAAAATTCACAAACCTGCGGAAAAATGCAAGTTTCTTCTCTTTGATTATTTTGACGAGAGCCTGATTCCACCTCGCTGCCTCACAAATGTTGCAAATTCTGCATTGGTTCAAACCTACATCTGGATTTTTCTCAGTGTAAAAATAAAGTTACGTGAACGATAACATAAAGCACCTAGGCTGCAGAGAAAGAGGTAGACCTCGAATGATAGGCAGTTATGAATTTCCAGACAAATAAACACCGGTTACGGAGTAAAATTGTTTGTATTTTTTTCCGAGAACGCCAGGTGTAGATCTTTCCTACCAGACGATCAGAGGTGTGGCTGAAAGACAGCAGTAAGAAGGAGCCGCCAAGGAGTAGTAGTAGAAAGGCTTCAGAAAGAGTCAGGAGCCCAGTGGAGGGGGCAAAGGGGGTAAGGAGGTGGGGAAAGAAATTGAAGACGAAAGCAGACGATAGAATATTGCAAGAGAGAAGGAAGGAAGGTGAAAGTAGAAAATTTTAAAGAAGAAAACATTTCGGTCGCTACCCGGATTCGGGTGAGGGTGCGGTGACGGGGCGGTTAGTGCGCTCGTCTCCGAAGCGGAAAGTCCGGGTTCAAGCCTGGGTTCGGACACGGATTTTTTTCGCCCCCTCCTGCCCACCCAGCAGTAATGGGTACCTGATTTCGAGTTGGGGAAGTAAAGGTGGCGTGGAAAGGAACTGGCAACCCTACCACGATATGCCAAAGGTCCAGGAAGTTGTCTCACAAATAAGACAATCCCCAATGTCCGGATCGGATGCAGAAACAACTTTACTTTTTTTTAACCCGGATTCAAACCCGGGACCTTTGAATGAAAGGCGAACACCTTAACTTCTAGAACACGAGAGCCCCTTTGATAATAATTATTTTTATAATATTAATAAT